AACAAAATAAAAATCGAAAGTCAATCTGAACATAAGGTATATACTTGAAATAACTATTGAATCATGTTAAGAAGAGGGCAATTGCGTGTCAATCAAACAGGCACATGTGTCAGAATAGAAAGGAATCAGTAAAATTTTATGTTTTTTTTTTTCCATTGATTATTATCGTTACAGTTGAAAATTAAATATTAAACTTAAAATCTATTTTTCTTTCTATTGTTCAATAGCAATACTTTCGTCAATTATTTTGGTAAGAAAAATTCGTTAATAATAAGATATGATTTTATTTAGGCTTTTTTTTCTCTTAAAATAAAAGATAAGTATATTATCAGTTTGATAATATAGAACGATTAAGGACTTTGAAGTTAAAGGTTTTCGTAGGGTTATCTTTTCTTTTGACGAATCATGTATGAACCTTGTATCAATTTGTATGTATGCTTCTAAAATCATTTTATCTATGAACTTGATCGGACAGTATTATGCGCATTTATACGACCATGAATTGTGTGTTTTTTTTCTATTCTTTTTTTTTGAGTTACTTCATATTTCATCACTCAAGGTTAAGGTTATATTTGATCTTCATTTTTTTCTCTTATGTTATCTATACATATCTATCTATCTATATATATTCAAAGACTAATCGTTATAATTTACTATATTATAATTTAGTATTAATTTGAACATACATATTAAGTAATTGAAATGCCTTCATATACAATGCTCAATGTTAAGATGCAACGAGATTCAAATGCTACACCTTGGGGATTTCGAATGCAAGGTAGGGATTTTGTTTGAAATAGAAAATCATTAAAATTTTGAATACGTATACTAAATATAGGTGGAAAAGATTTTGGTTGTTCATTACAAATTCAAAAAATAAATGCAAATAGTTTAGCTGAACGTTGTGGAATGGAAGCTAATGATTATATTGTTAAAATAGGTCAAACATCAACAGAACATCTTAAACATCCAGATGCTCAAGAATTAATAAAAAATCAAAATAATGTACTTGAATTAACATTACAACGGTTAGTTTAGATTAAAAAAAATATGATTTTAATATTTTATGATAATATTATATATAGAGGTGCACCGCCTGATACTAATGATTATAATACGCGTGTTGATTTCCCACCACATCAATTGATGCAACCTACACAAAACAATTTTTCATCTCAACCACGAATCCAATCTCCTACACCTCAGGTAATTATCATAATAGCAGGAATAGTGTTAATATACTCTTCTATATTATCTATAAATTCGACTTGTCGATTGACAAAGAGTTTCATATCTATCGAATATTGAAATTTACATATTGTATCAAAAATGAAAATCCCCAATGACCTTCTGTTTATATAAACTGATAGTATAACTAAGTAAAACACGTATCATACAATGGATAGAAAAATAGCAGATGATAAAGAAAACGTGATGTATATGATATCTAGTTTAATGCTTACACATCATTCTTTTATCTTTATCAAAATTAAAAGAGAATTTGTATGTTGTGTACAAGCCATGTCATTCATAGGTTATATAGAATGTCTCGCTAATGTGCTATAAACAAAAACAATCATAAAATTATGTCTTTTATGATATGAGACATGTAAATCAATCATGTCAGTTTATTAATTTAGCTACTAAATGATATTTTATAGTATTTTGTTTAATATATATATATATATATATAAATAACAATAGGTTGCTATGCCAATATCAAACAATCGAGCTATATTAAGTCAAGCTCATAATACACCAATTGGTCTTTATTCAGCTGAAAATGTAACTGATACAATCACACGTACACTTAAAAGGTAATGCTTAGAAAATTTTGCTAGATGCATGGAAATTCCGCATAAACATTAGTTTGCATGTGGGTGTAGTTCTCCTTCTCCTTTACTTCATAACAATAATCATGATAATCAAAAAACATCAAACCTACTCACATCTAGTGATGTCGAAGGTCTTCAACAAAAATACTTAAGTATGGATTTACAAATAACTAATAAGAGTGATTCACGACAAGGACCTGCTTTTCGAGCACTTGTTCGAGGTCTTGATGAAACAGGTGGTAAGCATTTGCTATATTTTATTATTATTATTATTATTATCATTTCTTATGATAATCATCCAAAGATCCAATTGATCAATCATCTTCAAGATCAAAGTAACATATAAACATTAAGATACGAAAAAAAGAACTGTTACATACTTTTTTAATAATAGTTTAAACCAACCACCACCACCACAACAACAACAACAGATTGATACAACAACAATTAAAGGTTTTCGATATACATCTAATCAGTAAGTATTAACTTTTTAATGTATAATTGATAGATAATAAATATTTTTTTCTTCAAATTTCACTTCAGAAAATAAAAGAGAGTTTAAAAGAGATATTAAAAAGCAAAGGAAAGATTTCATTTTATTGGTTTTCGTTTTGTTTATGAAAACACATTACAGATATGATAATCAGGCATGTGAATGTTAACTGTCTGTATGCTTATGCTTCACTTTCATATTTCAATAAACATTGCATATTCTTATTTATGAATATATATACATATTTTTCTAGTATGAATGTGTCACCTGAATATAAAATTGAAGAACCAAAAAAGTATGTAAATGTGCATCTTTTTAATGATATTATATTTATATTTATATACAGTTATAATGAATTTCAAGCAACAGCGACTCGATCTATGCCAAAACCAGCACCTGCATCAGCACCTTATGATTACGGACAACAACAACCACGACCAGCTCCATATACAACACCTCTACCAACACCACAACCTCCACCTATAAAACCAAAACCAAATGGAGCTACTGTTAAACCTTCATTCAATGTTAATGTACAAGGAACACCACGTTCAGGAAATCGTGTCTTTATAAGAGGTAATAAAGGTACTGCTGCTTTGAATCAAAATACAAATGCTACTGCAACAGCTACATGTCATACGTGTGGTATAAATATAAGGTATATTTCTAAATAATTGTTTCGATATTAATATTAATTGTGAAAAAAAACTAGAGGTCCATATATTTCGGCTATTGGTCATTGTTATTGTGTGAATCATTTTACATGTTCAAATTGTTCAACTAATTTAATTGAATGTGGTTTTGTTGAAGAGAATGGAAAATTATATTGTGAACAGGATTTTGAACAATTTCTTGCACCTCATTGTGCAAAATGTTCGCAAGCAATATTAAAGGTAATGATTATGATAATGAATTTCTAAGATTTAACATGATAATAATTAATAATAGGAATGTGTTCATGCACTTGAGAAAACTTGGCATCCAGAATGTTTTACATGTACAGCATGTAAAAAATCAATTGGTACTGGATCATTTCATGTTGAAGAAGGTGAACCATATTGTATTGAAGGTAATATTATAATTGATTTGAATAGTATGTTTATATAAAATAATTATCTAGATTATCGTCGAATGTTTCAAGCAAAATGTACGAGTTGCGATTTTCCTATTGAACCTGGTGATAAATATCTTGAAGCTATGGGTGGCACATATCATGTTGAATGTTTCAATTGTTCCGTATGTCTACATAACTTATTTAATTAATTATATGAAAATATTTCTTTTTGTATATTTTCAGATGTGTCAAGTGAATTTGAATGGTCAACCATTTGTTGTCAAAAACGATCGACCCTATTGTCGTTTACATGGTCGTTAATTGTCTTCAAATGACTTTAGTGAACAATCCCTTGCATCAGACAGATATATTTTGTTTATTTTATTATAGAAAAATACCCAAAGAAAAAATTTCATAATTATATAAAATAATCATAATAATAATAATTTCAATTTTGAATAAATAACAAAATTTTTTATTGTTTGCCTATAATATATCTATATAAATTTGTACGTATTATATTGCATACATTTGTGTAACATATTTCAAAGAAAGATGCTGTCCAACGGTATTATTTAACCTGACATTACGTTATTGACGTAGTTTCCATTAATGAATGCACTGCAGGTATTCTTTTTTTTTGAGATTTAACGACAAACACTTCGAAAGTATAGACAATACATATTTATTATGAAAAAAACTTTTCATTGTCTTTAGCAATTATTTTGTTTTTGAATTGTATTGAAATATGTTTCGATTTATACATATTTTGAATGAATGAAAAAAATCTTTATCTTTTACGATAACATAAAAAATAACAAACTATTTTGATCAAGTAATATTTTCAATTGATTTGTTTATTTCACCACAACAGGTGGTTTGCAAATTCAAATGAAAGAGAACGAGAATAAAAATTTTTAACTAGAAACAAAAGAAACAAAATCGAACGTATTTTGTTTTTTTCATTTCTACGTTTATTTTGGCCTTGCCTGAAGGAATTTAATGGTAAAACATCCATTACCATTTAGACATTTACTATGAACTGATTCAACTAAAAGAAAATTTTTAGATTAAAATATGATTAGCTCTTATGATATGTAATAGATATTATATGCTCATAAATAAAAAAAGAAGCCAGTCATAAATATATCAATAAATATAATATAATCACTACACTAACACTTTGAAATTTGTTCTTAGACAAATAAAATGTTGAAGCTGGAAAAAGATTCATATATATAAATATACTATTGTCATCAAACAAAAAATAAGAATGAAAAAGAAAAAAGAAGTAATATATTAATGACGAAATACTGAACTTGAAGTGTATGTTTCTGTCTATGTCATTCTCATTCGTTTCTTTTTTGGTTACATTTCGTTTTGTATTTGGTATTAATTCATTTTTAAGCGCTCAAATACATTTTTTTACATACTTATCGCATTGTAAGTTTTCACCATCAGCAACGCAAACGCTCTCTATTGTTTTTTGTCATTGAAAAACAAACATAAAGAAGAGAGAGAAAAAAAGTTAACGAAAAAAAAAAAGTCTTCAAATACATATATACAAACATTTGTTATATTGAATTGTCTTTTTCTCGATTGCTAACATCAACTAAAAATGTTTGCTAAACAATCACATTTAACTATGCCACCACCTCTTTGGCTACATGTTGATGGTGTTAGTTTACCAACAGATATACATCACTATCAATCATCAGTTCGTTCATATGATTATCAAACAAAACATTTACAAAGTCCAGCACAATCTCCACCACCACCATTGATATCACCAACAACAAATCATTCTTATAGTTTATCAGTGATTGATGGACCATTTAATCATAATAATACAAGTAAACAGCAGAAAATATTAGAAAATCTTGATGGGCCAAAAAAACTTTTTAAAGATAGACAAATTAAAAAAGTTAAATCATTATCAGGTTTAATTAAGTAAGGAAAAATTGGTTATTCTATTTTAATATAAAAAATAATTATTTGTATGTATATTAGAGGAACTGCTTTATCACGTCAAACATCTCAAACATCAGCATTCACAAGTCCAGCACCATCAGCTATATCAATACAAACTCTTCAAGATGATCAACTTCCTATTGTTACACTTGATCATAGTGATGATGGTCTTCCATTATCTCATACAAATGAACAACAAAATGAAATTCGTCGTCCACGCGTTTATTTTTCTGATTATAATAAAATTCAATTTATTGAAGATAATGATGAAATATCTCAACAACATCAAATACCTATTAATGATGAACCTCGACAATCTCGAATTCGTTTACCATCAAAAAAATCCTTAAATACAAATCCGATTACTCATACGACACCATCAATTCAACGAGCACAAACACGTCAAAATCTTACTGGTCCAACATCTCGTCAAACATATCAACAAACTGGACAAGATTCATCTACGAAGAAACAACAATCACATGCGACACCACGTACACAACAATCTCATATAACAAATTTACCTGATATACTTAGTCAATCAATACCAAATGAAATATCAACACATGAAACATATACTTTACAACGTGAAAAACCTATAAATCGTTTATTAAAATCAACTCATGATGCACCAAATAATTTAGCATTTGAAATTTCTTCTGAAACAACACATAATAGTAATGCTCATTATTCATCCATTCAAGATTCTTCTACTGATAGTCATAAATCTGATATAAGTGATAGTGATAATGGACAATTACATATTGGAAATTCACCATTATCTTCATCAACACAACGACAACGTTCATTACTTCGTTCAATTTCACTTCGACAACAATTTGTTTCACCAACGAAATTAAAATCAACCGATAATTCATCATCAGCAACAACAACAACAACAAATACGAATTATAATCATCAACAAATGAGTAAATCATTACCAAATGCACAACGATCAACTTCACTTAAAATTACAACTACACGTATACATAATAACAATAATAATAATAATGATGATCTACATACCAATGGACCTTTATTAACAGTAGATAAACGATCTATAAGTGATAATGAATCAAATAAACAATTAAAACGTTCTTATGTTATTCATTATAATTCGAAAAAGCCACTTGGAGCAAGTACAGCAAATTATTCTCATGTACCAAATCGTCATTCAAATAAATCACATACAAATGAAATAACACAAGAAAATTTTCAAAATTTATTAACTATTGTTCAACCACCCTATGCTGCAAATACCGGTACTACAACAAATAAATCTACAATGTCAACAAGTGAAGATATTCGTTCATCACGTAGATCAAGTCTACGTGCACCACTTGAATTTAATCATACATCAAATACAATTACTGTTTAAATTCATTTATTTTTTTATTGTAATTCGCATATTTCTTTTTCTTCTTTTTATCATATCTAGTGACAATGATACTCATATATATAAGCAGCAAATTAATTAATAAGAAAATATTTCAAATAAAATTTTCTTCTTAATATATTTATTTAGAATATAAATGAATATTAGAAAAAAAAAACATAACAAATGCAAATAGATTAAGAAAATGAATGCACGTATAATATAAATATTTGCTGAAAATTTTTATTTTATTGTGTATTAAGACACCATAAAGAAAACTTAACTCTTATATAAACTAATTTAAAATTACTAAAAACTAAACAGTAAACAAATAAAAAAGAAAAACCGTATGTAATATTCATTATGTTTAACTACGAATAGTTGTAAGTTCATGTGAAATCATTGCTTGATGATCATCATCATCGATCGATTTTATCTTTGGATGAATTTCAATGGAGCCACTCTTTGCAATCGTAGAGAAATGTCCATAACGTTTTATAAATGCTTCATAACCTACATATAGCCAAACACCAATAATAGCTCCAACAATTGGACCAATAATTGGAATCCAAAAGAAACATCTATTTACTGAAAATACATTTTCCCAACCATAAATAAAAGCAGCAAATAAACGAGGACCAAAATCACGAGCCTGTAATATAGAACATAATAAGAATTACATAAATATAATATTCTCTACATACAGGATTAATTGCAGCACCAGCATTACCTGCAAATGCTGAAGTAATACCAACAATAATAAGAACAAATGCAAATGGTTTAGCAACTTCCGATATCATAAAATTAGAATTCTAAAAAGACCAAATAACGAAAAAATACAAATAAATAAAATGATCATATGTATATTACACTTATTAAAGCCATAATAAAAATCATTAAAACAGCAGTACCAACAACTTGATCAAAAAATGAATTCCAATGTTCTACACCGTCTGCTGGCATTGTAAAGAAAATATCAGCTGTACCGTTTGTACCTAACATTTCTCTTTCACCACCATCAAATTTATTAAATAAACCAAAATAAAGATAATAAACAACAAGAGCACCAAAAAATGCTCCTATTAATTGACTAATGATATAAATAACACATTGAACTGGTTTTAATTTACGAACTGTTAATAAGGAAATACTAACAGCAGGATTTAAATGCGCACCTAAATAAAACAAACTAATCCTTTTGAAATCAATTTGTATTTAGTTTTACCACTAATTGGTCCAGCAATCATCAATGCTAAAAAAAGAAATTAGATAATAGTATAGAAAGTATTTTCTTATTAAATTCTATAACTTCATATCGTTGAATAAGGATTAGATTATATTAATTATAGACTTGATTTTCTTATTCAAAAATGACGTATGCATTTAAAGAGAAAACAAGTTAATTTCATATGAATAATAACTTCATTACAATATACTGTTAATGATCAGTTAAAAAATAAGTATTAAAACAGATAGTTTCTATAAATCATTAAGATTCTTATCATTAAAAAGAAATTATAATTCTATGTAATTAGATTTATCATAATATAATTATAAATGATAATCAAAATGTAGAGAGAGAAGGTTTACTGAGTCGAATGAAGTAGTAGATCACGTTGTTGTTTACATATACTTAAGATAGAATGCGCAACAATAAAATAACAAGAATAATTTCGATCAATCAATCACTATCTAACAGACAGTACTAACACAAAATTTTGACATAATTTCCTGTCAATCTTATCAGACCCCTAGAAATCTCATTGGTATCAAATGGAAAGAAAATAATATTTTTATACAACGATAAACAAATATAGATTCATAATCTATACAACATACTTTTGATTGCTATAAAGCAAAATTCTATTTATATTCATATTAAAACTTTGTAAATTTTATTATAAACTAAATATTTCTCTTCAATATAGAATACAAATAAATTAATAATACCTGTATAAACACCAATGCCAAATGAAAGATTAATAGTGATTGTTGAATGATTTGCTTGATGTGACAGTTTATATTGAGCAATAGCTCCTTCACCAATTAATATCAACATAAATGTAGCAAAACATTCTGCTAAACCTTGAGCCATATATTGTTCCAATTCTTTAACTTTTACCATGGTGTTAATTTTTGTTTTGTTTGTTCGTCTAACAAAAATCTACTACTACTACTATTCGAAGAACTAACAGTTAAAGAACAAAATCAAGAATGGACGTCAGACTATTTCCTTCTTTTCCTATTCGCGTTATTTTTTTGTTTTTTTCTTCTTTTCCTTCAACCGTCAGTGCGAGACAAGGCCGTGTATGACTCCCAAGTATATATTATCAAAAGTTATAGTTAAGCACTTTCTTCGTCTATATTAATGTATACATTTCAATTCCTATTTATTCATACGCATATATATTTATATACAAGAAGAAAAAAAAGCCTGTGTCTTTTCACCATATATCTTCAAAATGATTAAATTCTTTCACACAATAAATAATGAATAACAGAAGTGCCATGTTTTACATTGATACCGTGCCTATAAATGATAAAAAAATATGTTACAGAAATCAAAGCAATTTATAAAAAAAATGATCTATTACTTTCTAAAGATGCTTGTTTATTCATATGAGATCTTTTATTAGATTTTCCTTGATTAGGTTGTTCGACAGCATCAATGTGTATAATACCTGGTAGATTAGCATATTTTTTCATTAAAACTAAATAACCTTCAAAAATTCCAACACCAATAAGAGCTCCAATAATTGGACCAACAATTGCTACCCAAAAGTAATAATCATTTACAGAAAATACTCGTGAACCATAAATGAAAGCTGCAAATAGACGTGGACCAAAATCACGTGCCTATATAAGAAACAAAAATATAGATACAAAGAAAAATTGATATAAAATTTTGACGAACAGGATTTATTGGATTTCCACAATTGAGACCCATAGAAAAGCCGAATGTTGTTACCATAAGAACAAAAGAAAATGGTTTAGCTGCATTTGATATTAAATTATTATAATCATTTCCAAGTGCCATTATAAAAATAAGTAAAATAGTAGTACCAACTATAGCATCAATCAAACAATTCCAATTGGGAATACCTTCTCCTGGTACTGTATAAAATATATCTGCTGTTGAATTTGGACCTTCAAGTTGTCGAATACCTCCATCATATCGATTGAAATGACTTAAATAGACAAGATAAACCATAGCACTGGCAAGAAAAGCACCAACAATTTGACCAACAATATAAAATACACATTGAATAACTTTTAGTTTACGTAATGCAAGTAAACCAAGACTCACAGCTGGATTAATATGTGCACCTAAGAAAAATGAATTATATGAAATTATCAATATTTTTCTCAAGATATTCAATAATGAATTAATCGAATTTTATTTAATTATTGTATTAAGTTATTTTTAGATACAATTCTTATATTTATCATATAATTACATTAAAATAGACGTAAAACCAATTTCATACTTCAAAAAATTTCTCTTCAAGAGTTCTTGAGATGATAAATAAATGATATTTTTTAATTGTATAACCCGTAACTTTTATTCTTTTAAAAAACACATATAGTAAAATCATTTATACTGTTGAAGGTTGTCTAACAGTAATAAATCTTATAAAAAAAGATACAAAGTATATTAAGAATAGTAATAAGGCATCTATGAAACTCTTGATAATTTCTTCCTTTAAGTTATATGATATTATGCAGTATTACTTCAAACTATATAAGTAAAGACATACAACATAGTAAATAGTTCTATATATATATCTATGAAGTAATCTACATGATACCTCGAAGTATTAATTATATCGTGTCGATGATGTTGCTTATAGCAAAATAGGTATTATCTTGGAAGAAATAAAAATGAAGGTTTTTTCTTCATGATTTAATATCATATATATATATTCATTTAAAAAATATACATAGCATTATAATATAAATTTGATGATTGCTCTATATCATTCATAAAGCTTATTAATCTGTATAGACAGCCAAATAGAAATAGCTATCTTTTTGCCTACTCTACATATTATTATGAAAACAATATGATTATGCAAAGTTATTAAACGACCTTGTTCTTTATTGCATAAAGATAACAATGTATATGAATAAGACAAAACGTGATAAAGATGTCCGACGATAGTTTCGTACGAAAAGAAACGTTTTTTTTCTTCTATTTGATTTTACAGATTTCCTGTATGTGAATAATGAGATACTCTAATATAGATGTTATTAAATATATTCTATATATCTTTTCATAATATAAAATACTCTACAAAAGAACACAAAGAAATTTACAATCAGTAGAATGAATCATTTCTTTTGTCTTTTTTTTTCTATTAGAATAAATACAAAGATTTATAATCAACTTGAAACAAAAAAATAAATTATTATAACTAAACTATAGAACAAATAATTAAATAATCTTTATAGTATTTTTTCTTTTCTTACCTGAAATTGGTCCAGCCACCATAAGGGCCACATATACTCCCGTTGCAAATGATAAAGTAATTCCAAGATTAGTTCCAGGTGATGGTTTAGTAAATTTATACTGAGCTACAGATAGATTTCCAATTAGAATGGAAAGAAATGTGCCAAAAAGTTCAGCAAGACATTGAGCACTATACTGCTTTAATTCGCGTGGATCAAACATGATATTTTTTTTATGATGACAAAGTGCAAGTATATAAGATAAGAACAGCAGAATATTACAATTCAACACGTTGGACAATATAATTTAAGATAACTGCTTTATATTTATATTCATTATTTCCAACAGTCAACAATCATAAATCAAATTGTTTAGTCACTTTAAGACACAAGTAATTATTGATATTACGTTGTTCTTAATATTTTTTGGACATAAATCGTATTTAATATATGTCTAAATAAGATTTTATTTCGTATTTTTATTTTTTTAACGATATTTCTTTTGTTAACAAAGAATAGATGATGAAACATGATCTAATTTATATTTACAAGTA